GCGTGTATAATACCAAAGCAACGTCTGAACTCTATGTCATGTCACTATATTTTCAAATATTTTTGTATTTTCAATGAAAATGTACACAATAATCTACACTAGTGTTTTACTACAACGAGTAATATTATTCTCTTTGTTTCAAAATACAAGTTTTTTTAAAGATTGTTGCGTGTAGATTAAAAATTAATAATTGAATAATTAAATATAACAATTTTATATAATTATCCTTAATTACTCTGTAGTATGATGTAATAATTTGAAAGTAATTTAGACTATATTTATTAGAGATTGATAAAAATTAATTAATGTTGTATTGAAAACATAAAAAACTCTTATTTTTGAATAAATTTTTTTTATTATAAAGACTTTTATTTTATTAAAGAGAGAGTAATTAACATATTCAATAAATGTGTGTGCATTATACCATGTAAACACACAACTCTATGTCATATCATTGCACATTTTTTTTGTTTTCAATGCTTGCAACAATCTATCTAAGTCTATCATAAGAGAGCTCAATAAATCTACCGTGAGAGACCTAAAAGACCAAAGATTTTGTTTTTTTTTTCGGTTTATAAATTTTTAGTGTTTATTTTACGCGTGTTTAAAAGAGTCGCTAAATGATTGAAAACAAAAAAATTAAAAATTTGTGGGTGTTTGAAACCGCACCTAAATGGTTAAAAATAAAAATAAAAAAACAAAAAAACTTTGCATCGGTTTAAAACCGCCATTAAATTATTGAAACTATAAAAGAAAATAAGGACAAAAAAACCGATCTCTTACATAACTGCAGATGAAGTCCTAACTTAGATGCATACAAGTATTCTACAACCTCGTCTCATAAAAGTGTCACACTTATATTTTTTTATGTCTTAAAATAAATTTTTCTTTGCAATATTAATACATTATTTATTATTTTTTTCAGCACTATATTTTTATTTATTAATTTTTTCTCTTTTCAATTATTCTATTAACTATAATTGATAAGAACAATTTAGTATTTTATTATTGAAATTAATATATAATTTTTTTTTTAATATTCAAACAAGAAACTTATTATAAAACAGAAGGAGTTACCACGATTACAATTTTAACATGTAATATCAATGCAACTTATATGTAATCCCCCCTAATTGATATTAGATTTTAAACTTAATTAATATTCTTTATGTTCTAAAATGAATGTTCTATTTTAAAAGTTATTTATTTTAAAATATTTATCATTTTAGTTAATTAATATATAATTTTAATTTTTATCTTTCAATTATATCCTTTAATATATACTCATAATTTATTGATTTCACATTCCACATTAATGTTAATTTGAATACATAAATAATTTCAAAATAACTATTTTCTCTTTTGATTATTATATTTTTTTAATCTATATAAAAATATAAAATATGATATTTATTTTAGTATGGAGAGATTAATATTTAAAATAATATAATTATGGAAAATGCTAATGATGGATACTCTTTAAAATTTTATTTAAACAATAAGTTTTTTTTAAATGTGTATATTCAATGTATTTAAAATTGAAATAATTAACTTTTTATTTTAAAAAATAGTAATAATCAACTTTTAAAAAATTATTATTTAAAATTTTTAAAGAGTATTTCTTAGACATTCGTTAACATAACACTATAATTATGTTAACATGACACTATACTTATATATTAAAAAAGATTAATTGTTTGCTATCAATGTAAGAGAAAATCTACGCATTCAATCTATCACAGCACTTTATAATTATTACTTTATATATAATCAAAATAAAAATCAAACATAATTCGATATCGGTTACAAATAATTGACAATATAAAATATCTTTATTTTATCAAATATATTCAAATTAAATTTATATTAATATTTTAAAACTCAGATAGAATCGGCCGGTTCAACTAGTTGAACTGGAAATCGGAAATGAATTCAGTTGGATTAACCTTTCAAAACTGCTAGTGGGTCAAAACCGGAATTAAACCGAAAAAACCGGATTGAACCGTCCAAAATCATTCGAACCAAAGAATCGGAGTCGGTTTTGTAAAACCTTCCAGTTCAAAATTTTTTTTATTAAATTGACCATATTTTTAAATTTTTTTAAAAATTTTAATATGTTAATTTCAAAACTTAAATACATTCTTCAATCAGAAAAACGAATATCGTGTGTTTTTTACAACCATACAAACTTTTAAGTTTCGTGTATTATTTATATTTTGTTATTCTACTTTATTTAATTTATTTATTTTTATTATTTGAACTTTTATTTTAGTTATTATATTCTATTGTTTTAATCTTGATTAAACTAGTTTAATTTATTTTGTTGTAATTCTTTAGTTTGATTAAAATATTCTTAAATGGTGGTTGAAATAAAGATATGTTAATATTATGTTTTATTGTATTAAATTTGTAATAAATTTTTGAAATATTTATTTTATTAAGTTGAGACCATATTATATGTGAATATCTATGAAATTTACTTTTATATTATTAATTTATTTAATAAACAGTTCGATCGTAAATTTAACCAATTTAACTAATTAAACTTTAAATCATAAATTTTATAGGTTCGATCTTCGATCCAGTTTTTAAAAAAATAATTTATATTAAAATACTTTTGATCCATATAAACGTTCATTCAAAAGATTCAAGTAATTAAAAAATATCAATAAGTATGTCCTCGATTAAACAAAAAAAAAATATGTTTGTATAAGAAAATATTCTATTAATTATATTGACAATTGTTTTTTTTTCTTCTAAACTAGTATTATTTTTCTATTTGTTTTCATTGTCTTAATTTTTCTTTTTTTTAATATTTTCTTTTTTCTTTCAACTTTTCTTTCTTATCTTCTTTAATGCACTGAAAAAAATTTAGCTTTATAAAAGAATATTATATACATTAAATAAAATAAATATAATATATTTTCATTATTTAAAATTTTTAACCAATGCCCGAGACATTGAATAGCATGAACATTTTTTAAATTAAAAAAAAATACACTTTCTATGGTCTGACATAAAATACATATTTATTTACACATTTAATGAAAAACTACTTTTGTTTTGTAGTTCTTTTTAACTTGGTCAATGTCATCTTAATTATTCCATGTAAAGTCATATACATTAATACTAATATGTATTTCTTCCTTTCTTTTTTATAATCAACTTTTGACTTTTATATTCACTCAATAAATGATCAATAAATTATATATATATATATATATATATATATATATATATATATATATATATATATATATATATATATATATATATATATATATATATATATATATATATATATATATATATATATATATATATATATATATATATATATATATATATATATATATATATATATATATATATATATATATATATATATATATATATATATATAAAAACTATTCAATGAACTTAAAAGTAAAAAAAATAAAAAATTGTGTATACAAGAGAATAAAGAAAGTATATTAGTAAACCCTTTAGACTCATACAGAGACACCACCAACATATCAAAGTATATGCAGATAGAAATGGTGTCACCAACTTCATTTTGTTTCCTCTCTTTACTTCCTCTTGTTTTGATAATCATCAATCCATCTCAATCTCACTCTTCTGAGTTGAAAAATGGTGCAAATGATGTTGTCCATGTTTCCTTGTATTATGAATCTCTGTGTCCATATAGCAAAGATTTCATTTTGAAAAGTCTTCAGAATTTCATTCAACTAGATGTCATGTCTGTTGTGAGCCTCCATATGGTTCCTTATGGCAATGCTGCTACAAGTCAAAATGGAACCGTTTCTTGCCAGGTCCCAAATTTTCTTACTTCCTTATACCATTATCAAACACATATAAACACATAAATTCAGTATATTGAGTTATAAATACTAGTTATATACATTTTTAACTTTTTTGTGTTTATATTTGTAGCATGGTCCTGATGAATGCTACTATAACATCATAGAAGCATGTGCTATTGAAGCTTGGTCAACGGTAAGGATTTTTCTTAGTAAACTTTATGTATAATTAGTAAAAGAATATTTACTATGATGTAAATAAGATTTCTTCCATGTCTAACAAAAAATTCTTTGCTCTTGTTTTATGTGTAAATTTGAGGAAGAAACTTAGCTTGCCATTCATCTTTTGTGTTGAGAATGGTTTATTTACAAGTAGAACCCCAAATTTATGGCAATCATGCTCCAATCGTCTCAGATTGGACCCAAAACCCATTCAGAATTGTTATTCAAGTGGACATGGAAACGAGGTCAGTTTCGTATTTTTCAATTCATAACTTTCTTTAAATTAGATGTTATGGATTTGAATCTTCGCATTTAAAATCTGATGTCTCTGTACAATTATCAACTAATCTCAAGAAATTTTCTCTGATGATATTTTGCAGCTACATATACGAAATGGTAAAGAAACAAATGGACTAAATCCACCTCTTACTCACACACCTTGGCTTGTTGTCAATGGCCAAAATGTAGTTGCTAATGTTAGTAACATTTTTCTTACTAAATTATTTAATTATTTAAATACTTATTTTTTTTCTCTTTTATTAATATCCTTATTCTTTTCTACAGGATGATCTTGCAATTTATGTGTGCAATGCCTACAAGGGTCCTATAAAATTCAAAGCTTGTCAAAAATGATGTTCTCATAATATTGAGAATTTACCATCAAATTTGTAAACTTTGTTCTTTTAATTAAATAAAACAAATTACTCCAGCATTTTTCATATTATAACAAATGCATTAAATTAAATATAATATTTATACATACAAAAATTATTTAATACAAATAAAATCAACGAATAAAAGAACTAATTAAACTAACAGACGCATTCTAAGAGTTTGATTCTCTTGAGTAAAGTTTTGCGTTTGAGTCTTATAAACAAAAAATATAGAAAACTTTGCATCTTCGAATTCTTTAACTCAAATTATACGGAGGGTTTATACCAAAAGAAAAAGGAAACTAGATCGACTCGACTCGACTTATCAGACATCTTTCTTCACATTTGTGCAAGGAATGTACGCTGACGACCGGTGTTTCTTCAGTCTCAACTCGCGCTGAGTTTTTGGTAGATTCGTTGTTGTGGAGCATGGCAGGACCGGGCTCTCTACAGCACAAAACTTGTGCTTCATGGTTCTCCAAGGGAAGAGAACTTCAAGACCACATCCCTTTGGAGATGAAGAAGAAGAACCAGAAGCATAAGCATATGAATGCGAATGTCTACCCGATTCCGATAAATAGCATTCTGGATAACTACAAGAATCACAAACTTTTTCCGCAAAATCACTATGAAACTGTAGAGCCGACGACGATGCAGCCAAAGCGGTTGCATCGGGAAGAAAACGGTTGATCAAGTAAGTAGGAGATTGGTAGCCATTACACTCTGCAAGCTTTAGTTTCAATCCTTCATTGATATCACTATGAGCTTTCTCTGATTTTCTTTGAACTATATCCAATGCTTCTGATAAAGAAAACACATCATCCATAGCATCTGAGAAAAGATCATCTTTGTCATGCATCTCATCACAAGCATTATCTAGAATATCAGATAGATCCGCCGCTTCTTTTCGTGGAAACAAACGATGACAGGTTGCTGCTAATTTCGAGCCATTCCTCTCCGTATCTTTCGGTTTTCCTGGTTCTTTCTCCCACGAAAACGGAACTCTTTCACTTGTGTTTTGAAATGTACCTAATGAACTTGATGTGTCTGCAACAACGGAACCAAAACGCCTTGTAGACATGATTGGCGCATTCAAGTTTAACCTTCTGTGACGTTTCGAATGATCCATGGTTCGGTTCCGAAAACTACCTTCTAGCTACACTTCTTCTGCTACTTTTTCAAGATACTAGATTCAGTATCTGAGATAAAACTTAAGGAGAAAAGATTTGTAAAATTTGATATTAGAGAAGATATCACAACTAGTTTGTTGGTGGAATAAATAGTAGTAGTTGGAAATATGGGAATCTCGTGAGAATAATTAAAACTAAGGTTCTGCTTTTAAGGTCACAAGTTTGTTGAAAAAGTACCTCCACGTGGGAAGAGACTAACACATAAACAAGGAGCAAGAACTCATAACAAGATAATTTTTTTTTCTTTTTCCCATTAAGCTTAATCATACTAATCAATAAAGAAACCAGGTAGAAAAATGAGGACAACAGAGAAGTGAGTATTACATGTTCAACATTTTACAAGATACAAAATATAGAGGAAATAAGCACTTCAAACACTAAAAACTTAAAAATAAGTAGGTAAGAATATAGCTTTTCCAAAAAGAAGTCGTCACAAACGAAAATTCGCCAGCAAAAGTTTTGTTTTATACAACAGAGAAGTGAGAAAATGTTACAATGGTAGTAAATATCTAAATCTTGGACTTAGCATAAATTGAATTTTCATGTACATGTTTTGACTAACAAAAGGAATACCTCGCCATTCTCGCTGATGCGGCACGGAGTCGAGCATAACAGTTGCAACTGCGTGCACTACTACTTAAGCATCGTTGGACAAAAACACAAGCCGTGTCATTACATATATTTACAAGTTATTCTGCTTCTCTACTTTCCCTTTCTGTTTCGACAGAAACGAGTTTTCTAAACTTTTCTTTTCCTTTCTGTAGTCCTGTTTCCAGAAGGCCAGTTCAAAAGATATAGACCATCCGGTTGACACCGTGATTATGTCAAACTCGCCGTGAATTCATGATTACTGGTGCTTCGTGTTTTAGAAAAAGTACAGTTTGGCAAGACTAGGCTTGTGTCCATAGGGGAATGCTCCGGAAAAATATGGATTCTTTTTAAATCTCGGGTTTTCTTACTCTTGTTCCTTAATCTGCTCCCGTGCTTTATTACAAAGCTCAAGAGTATCGGCGTGGCCAGGATCAAGACAAAGGGCTGCTTCACAGTCTCGGATAGTAGAAGCGAAATCATTCATTGAATCGTAAAACGCTGCTCTAAGATGTAAAAGTTGCAGATCTGGCTTGAATTCAATGGCTCTTGAAAGTTCCGCAATTGCTTCTGCTTCCTTATGATCATCCATTAAAACTGGTACAAAAAGTTTCCAAGTCAGAACATAATGAGCTTGTATGTGTGTGTGTTTCCATCTCGCGACATGAATAAAAACACAGAGAATTACTATAGAACCATTGATGTATAGACTCACCTGCTGCCCTATATCTGTAAGGATAAGTCCTTAGAGGATCCAACTGGGTTGCCATGCTAAGATCACTCTTTGCCATGTCACGATCACAATATTCCGACCGTTTCTCGTAAGCCGATGAGCTGTTCCAAGCCTTTTCTATTAGCTTTGTCATTTCATCGTATGCGGCTTTGCGGTTATTTTTAAGATGATATACACGTGCCAAGCCCTGATGTGCTCTCGTATGCTTGATGTTGAGTGCATTCATATAGCAATCAGCTGCAAGGTCCAACTTATCACAGTCTACGTAGACGCTTCCAAGATTATTTAGTGCCTACGATTCGAAAAAAATGACAACGATAAGTACACTACTTCAGTATCGAAAAAACAAGTGCTTAGTTTAAAATATATAGCACTTACCTGTCCTTTCCGAAGACCGTCCGAAGGACATCTAAGAGCTTCCTCCAAGAGATGGATAACATACTTCGAAGACTCCGAATCGAGACTTGTGTCTGCTAATGCATAAGCTTTGAGAAAGTAAGCTTCAAATGATCTTTGAATAGAAATGGACTCCTCGGCCTTTGCTAACGCTTCTTCACGATGACCAGTGTCGTAGAGTATCCATCCTTCATAGACAAGCCTTTCATGGTCAGAAGTCGAATGATTTCTAGCCTGCCGCAAACTACGCATCGCTGCCTTTTGACAATTTAGCCTGCAAGATTGAAGAAAATCAACACTCGCAAGTTATAAGAGACTAATTAACAGTGTTGTTCTGCAATGCGCAATTTCACTCACCGTAACAAAAGGAGAGATTGGCGAAAACACAAAAGACTTTTCCCTGGATCGTTTTCCAACATCTGGTGAACAACAGCCAACGAACCAATATCGTCGACAGAGGACCAGCGGTCGTACAATTGCATCCAGCAATCAGCCTGATTGTACTGTTGAACAACAGGACCGAGTAGTTGTACCAAGTGGTTGCCATGCATATTGCCGTAGAACATCATATAATTCGGATCCAATGTCAAAATAGCCCGAACATCTCTAAGTGCTGCTTCATACTCTTCCATGGCTATTAAGAACCAAGCCCTCAATTCAAGGCAGTCGGGAGAAACTTTGAAACCGATTATTTTGTTTATTTCTGCAATGGCAGGTCCAATCCTGTTCTCCTCAAGTAAAGAAACAGCTCGGTATTTGTAAGGAAACGAAAGCGTTGGATCTAATTCGGTTGCAGAGATCAAGTCCATCATTTTCTCCTTCCCAATGCAATACAAAGATCTTTCCTGATACATCCATCCAACAGGTTTATAATCATTAATAAGCGAGTTCACCAACTTATACGCTGCATATGTATGACCTCGTTTGTATTTCGCCCTTGCAACTCCGATTAACGAATAAACATGACCTGCCTCCACCGCTGACTCAAACCAATGTTGTGCATCTTTGTATTCTTTTCTCTCAAACATAACAACACCTAATTGATGAAATGCTTGTTGCTTCTCCCATCCGTCTTTTGCACATTCAACTAATCTCTCCAACAGCATCACGGTTATGTTTGACCTCATCTCTTCCTCCATGGCAACTTGACTCAAGAAATAATACAGCACAAATGACGAGTGCCCTGCCATAGCAAGCCTATCCCTACCCTCCGGACTACAAAACAATTTCACAAAACTCAAACACTGCATCGAACCGGGTAGCTCCCTCAGAAAAATCTGCAAGCAAGCCGCAACCAAAAGGTATGCCGTCTCTTCAAACCCATACTCAATGAGCAACGAGGCGTCTTCCAAGTCAGAAACAAGCGACGCCAAATGCACGTCGCAAGCACGCTTCATCTCCTCACAACAAAACCGGTTCGCCAAAGAAAGTAACTCTAAGACTACATTAGGTTTGATTTTGCTCAAACTTTTAGTCCTACTAAAAACCTCGGCAGCCTTCATTACCTCAACAGAAACCTCATTCCTTGAAAAATTTATCTTCTCCCTCCTTGATTCTGCGAATTCACCATACAACATTGTCTTAAACGGGACCGAAAGCGAAGCCATATTGAATCTACAACACCTAATCTCATCGTCACCAATACAAAACGACATATCCCAATCTTCATCATCCTCATTCGAGGTAGAACATTGTTGACCAACAAATGTCATAAAATCCTCATCCTTGTCCCCATCCTCATCCTCACAATCACGATCATCAAAACAAGAACAAACATCAAAAACCAACTCGGGATCATACCCATTTGCGACCAAAGTAGCCTTAGGACATTCAATATTCCTACCAAAACAATCCATCGAAGACGAACCAACCAGCTCGTCCTCCCTCCTCTCATACCTAAGCCACGAGGTCAGCACGACTTTCGTATGTACATCCACAGCATGCTGTCGTGCTGACCTCAAACTCCTGCGAAACAATTTCGCATCAGACAACCCCTTAAAAACCGAACAATGCTCCAAATAAACCCCAGACCTATCATACTCCGAACAATTCTCAATCTTATTATACAAACCAGTCAACCTTTCAACGAAATCAACCGGCCTCAAAACAGGATCAATTTTAGGCTCCAAAATATCCGTCATAGGAAGTCCATAAGGAAGAAGAGAACCCGAACCTTCAACAACAACGTCGGAAGATGTCCGATTAGGTGATTGAAAAACATGAACGGATTTGCTTCGAAACGTTTGACTTTTAATATGATCGTGAAGCTGTTGAAGAAGCTTTTCACCAACTCCACCGCCGTGTCCGGAACCGGCGGTGGAAGAAGGGTGGTGGATAGAGTAACCCTGAGAGCCTTTGCAACCGTCCATGATCTTTAAACTACGCATTGAAGCAAATATATTGTGCTGCATTTTCTTCTTCTTTTTTCTCTCAATTTTCAACGGTTCAACGAATTTGACATCAACAAAAACAACCAAAATAAATAAATAATAATAATAATAAAATTAATAAATTAAAAAAATGATTGTTCTTTTAACGTGGCGGTGACATTGAGAGATTATTAAAAAGAAGAAGAAAAATGCTGGGTTTTTCTTAACCCAGATTGTTGTTGTTTTGATGATGTTTTTTGGATGTTATTTTTTGGGGGGTTAAAGAAGAAAAAGAATGACAGAGGAGTGGACAACCAGGGATGTTGAGGTGGAGATGGAGGTGGCCGTTCAAACGGTCACTCTCTCTTTCTCTCTCTCTCTGTCTCTCCTTCCTCTCTCTGTTCTCTTCTGTAATTTTGCAGTTATCTAAATCTAGTTGTAATGAAATCTGAATTTGCAACTTATTTTCTATTTATATTGTTTATATTTTGTTTTGGAATTTTGCGGATGGTTTCAATTGCACTAATAATAAAGACAAGATATTACTAGTAGCATGTTTGGTTTGGTTATATTTGCTTTTTAGATTCTGCATTGAATTTCAAGAATCATAGAATTGATTTTTTTTCTCTATAATTAGTTATATTTAAAGTTAAGCTATGATTGGATAGGTGGTACGGGATGTCATGTCTAAAGATTTTCTTATAAATATGACTAAAGATAATAATAATATGATAAAAATATTGGTAATGAAAAATAAACATTTCATTTTAAATTTAATAAATAATAAATAAATAATAAATAAATAATATTAAAATATTTAAAGGTTGTGAAAAAAAATTAGGTAACTTTATAAAATTTGATGACACGAGAAATCAATTTTATTTTATTTTTTAAATTAATAACTATATTATATATTATATGTGTTAAATATAAGATCGTTTTTAAAGGTGTGTAAGTTGGGTTAATGTATAGGGTCTCAAATTTGTTAATATTAAACTATAGTTAAATAGAGTCTCGTAAAATATTTGTCAAGTAAAGTCGTAATTAAATAGAACAAAATTTGGAATCGTCAATTTCTTTATGGATATGCTTTTTCACCCTACTTGAAAGAATGTGCAAGATTTTTTTTGAATTTTATGTGAAATATACTTTCTATTAGATGGAGCATTTTCCAACACAACTTTTACAACTTCATCATTGTAATATGTCGAGAATTTTATCAATTCAAGAAAATTACCTTAGTTTAATGATTCTTTACTTTCATCATGACCTCTAAAAGCACAAGCTTGAAAAGTTAACCAACGAACTGTATCAATTGAAGTCTTGAGACATAGTCGATTCTTCATAATTTCAATCGAGCTTTTAGCTTGAATAATGTTCTTAATATGCCCATCTTGATTTAATAGATCTTGAAAAGCTTCCATAGCATTGTTGTGTGGTGAACAAGGATCATTCCCTGTGTGTTTAAGATATGCACAATTCTTTCCATTTCTAACTTTCTTCCAACCTCTAAAACTTGTAGAAATGAAGACATCTGAATCAGGACGTCCACTTGATCTCTTGCTAAAAAGATAACATGTTAAACAATAAACAACATCTTCTGAAGGTGAATATTCTAACGATGAAGGAAAAAGGCTAAACCAAACATGTTGAAATCTTCTTTGATGATCTTCTTTACCAGACAATGGATATTGCTCTAAATGCATTTGATATGAACCCTATTTCAAATAATCCCTTCGTATTTTATCCATTTGATTTAATGGATATTCCCACATCGAAGGACGTTTTTCAAGATCACGTTATAAAGAATTCTCAATGTCATCCGGGCAAACTATATTAATATTTTCTTAACTTCTTGGATTCTCAAGAACTCTTTGAGGTTCAGACATAAAAGTTATATTTTCGTCATCTCTTTCTTTCCTCTTGAAAAAAGAATCGGTTTTTCTACTCTTCATTATCACTTTTGTGTTGCAAAATCAATCGAAGAAATTAACCAAAAAAATACACTTTAGTTTAGCATTGTTCAACTTCAATTAAAATTTAATCACAACACAACAAATTCTCAAAGTTCTTTAAATTCACAATAAAACTTATAAAAGAGAAACAATCCCAAAAATCCCTAAATTCACAGTTCAATCTTACATTGTATTCTTTAAATTAACACAATATTGTCAATTTGATTGTATTATCAATTTGTGAAATTGAAGAAAAAACATAATATTCTATTATGTAAATAAATAAATAAATGGAAGACGGTAGCAGCTCCACACTCTTTCTCTTTTCTACGATAGCAGTCTGTATCCGCTTGTCGCTCTCTAAACTGTGTACTTTTCAGGTAAATGATTTTTCTTCCATTTATTTATTTATTTACATAATAGAATATTAGTTTTTTTTTTCAATTTCACAAGTTGACAATACAATCAAATTGATAATGTTGTGTTAGTTTAAAGAATACAGTGTAAGATTGAATTGTGAATTTAGAGATTTTTGGGACAATTTTTCCAATTGTGTCTGGGCTAGCGACATATACTACATAATCTTATCATTTTATCAATAGTATCCATTTCAGTCTTAACTCGAACTCACCCACGCAGGACATCGTATCTCTCAATACTTCTATTTTTTCGCCTTCAGGTATGTCTTTGTCCAACAAACGAATCAACTCCACGTGTAATTGTTTGAAACATTAGATAGAGCATGTCCATCAGAGGCTTGTCTCTCGAATAAATCATTTTCCCATAGCGTCGACGATACATGTTATCACTAATACAAGTATATAAGAATAGATGTGAAAACAATGAATCTCACCACCTCTATTTATAGTAAAAATACACAACGTGCATTGTCTCCAAACTAATTGACGACACCACTGTCGTCAATTGGATTGAAGACATCATATAATGTCTTCAATCCAATTTGCAACACTATTTAAAGCTAGAGAGCAGTCGTCAACTAGGTTGACACTAGCACTGAATCTCACTCCTAAATTAAGGTATTTTGAAAAATAATTTAAAAATGGATTATTTAAATTATTTTTTTAAATGTGAGTTAGTTGGATAAAAACTTTTAAGATTGTTCATTCTACTTTAAAAATATTGAATGGATTTAAGTAAAATATGAGAATAGTGGAAACAGTTGAGATTTGTGTGTATGATAAACTTTCTCAAATAAACCATTTTAGATATGGTGGCCTTTAGTTTAAATTTATCTTTTTTTGCCGATCATAGTTCCAATGCACTTTGGTCCTCCTGTAACCAACCATCAGGTTAAGTAAAAGTATAATTATTTTTTATTAATACTATTAATTGATAAATTCTTTTAATTTTTCTCAAAAAAAAATACTATTAAAAATATTGAGAATTTTCAATTTCTTACAATAATTTATTCATATTTATTTTTAGATTTTTTTAAAATTAAACATTTATGGTCAAAAACATTTAAAGTATATAATTTTTTTTATCATCTTCATCTTTAATTATAAGTAATAGATAAAATATGTAAATTGTAATGCAAATAAATATATAAGTTGTAAGTTGAACCTCAAATGATTAAAGAGCATAATGTTTTAAGATCTTTGAGTAGAAATTATAATTATAGACTCAAAATCAATGCTTACAGGGAAAAGTATAGTTGAATTGACATCATACATTTAGATTCAATTCCCAGCATTGTGATTGGTTACATTTAATTTAGGGCCTAATTAGTCGATAGCAGAAGAAAGTGTAATATTCGTTAGAGCATCTCCAACCGTGAACCCATTTTTGGGTTCTTTATATGACTCATTAAACCACGTCAGCTTGAAGCAACTCAACTAATTTTTCACTCCAATGGTACAACTCTGAAGAACTCATATTGAATCCCACAACTTTACTTTATATATTAATATTTTATTAATATTAAATTTTATATCACTTAAAATAATAATTTTAATTTTTTACAGAAAATTATTTCAGTCTACTATATAGCCCAATGGGTATATAGTATTGTTTTAAGGAAAAATATTTCATTTTACTATATAAACTTAAAATTTAAAATAATAATTAAAATTAATTTCAAGTACATGACATATAATTAAAAATAATAAAAATAAATAACATCACATAATTAATTGTTAAGAAATTGAAATTTTGAGAAAAAATAAAATTGTGACAGAAGATTTATGTGTAAAAAAATTGAATTGGTCTCATTTATAAACAAATTAATTGTTAAGAAATAAATTTTAAAAAAAGTTATGTTGCAGTTACATTTTCAACGGTACCAAATTAATTGTTAAAAAATTATGATACTATGTTTTTACTTTTCATTAATAAAAGAGATTATTTTATTATTATTTTAACTCAAAACAACGTTGCTTCCTAATGCAACCGTAGTGCCAAGTGGAGAAAAAACTTTTTTCTCCAATGGTGAAAAGTAGTTTTTAGATTGTGCCAGGTTGGAGCAATGGGTCAAAAATCTCCCGTTGGAGAACACTTTAAATGGTTTGGTATACTAAAGATGTATATCTAGATATATAAAGGTGTCTTTTGTGTTATGTTTAGAGATAATTTATTTTTTAGATTTATTGAATAAATAATGTATTTGGTCCATTTATAGACTAAATATATTGATTATTCAATGAATTTAAAAAATAAATTGTCTCTTATAAAAAAGAACGGAGAAGTAATATGTTTTTTTATGTAAGCATATATGATTACTTTGACAATCGACAATTAACAATGTTATTCGTTTGGCTATGGACAATTATTAAGGAAGACAATTATTAACAATTTTGAATTTTTTCAATTATTGTACCGCCTTAGTTTTCATGGCACCATTTGGCTATTTTAGGTTGTTGTTAGTCTTTCTTTTTCTTTTTCTTTTTTTATTACTGTTAGTAATTATAGCTTTAATTTTGTTGTTTTAATAGAAGTTAGAAGTATATATTAAGCTTTTTCTTCTTCCTTACTTTGTAATGTGAATACCAAAAGTTAACACAACGAAGCAATTCTCCTTTTTCGCATTCTTCTGCATTGTATCTCAACATGGTATCACGAGCTATATGT